AAAGCAGAGCAGGAACCCACCCATGGCCCCACTATTGTTAGATTCAGCCCTGCTGATAGAGAGATGTGTTGTGACAGAGGCTGCCGTTATCTGGGCTGTCCCCCAACACACACACACACACATACACACACACACACACAGTTAACCTCACTCTGGTTCCTGTTGTTTCCAGAATCAGATACTGTTTGACATCTTTCTCTCTCTCTCTTCCTCCTTCCCTTAAACACACACTTACACACGAATACATGATTTCCTGGTGCTGGTGTATTTGTCAGCTCATCAGAGTCAATCATCTGTAGCATTTAATACATAGAAAAAACCCAAATATAAACTGACCCCTCTTTAACCCCCTCCTCCTCCCCCTCACTCTGGTCCTTGAATCTGACCTCTCCTCATTTCTTACAAAACCTCTACATTTGTTTTCTTTCTGTTGTGTTTGTGTCTGTCTCCCTCTGCATGTCCCGTGTGACACACTCTGTCTCCGTCTGTCCTGTCACTCTCACCCTCACCCCCTCCACATTCTTCTCTCCCCCTTTCCCTCCCTCAGCATGGACGTTCTGAGTTTTCATGGGATGGAATCAATGTAAGAGTCGTGACAGCGTTCCTTCGTTCACTGCTCTTTTTTTCTATGTGGCTTGACTTAACTCACCTTGAAGTAGACGGCAGGTTGACCCCCGCCCCGACCTTAGTCACTCTTGGTTCTCCTGATGATAGTAGTAGTGGTGGTGGTGGTGGTGGTGGTGCACTGTAGTGAGCACAGACAGAGTCAGTCAGTGGTTGACAGTGGTTTATACTTGAGCACTTTTTATCTTTTGTATTAACCCGACATCTCCACCACTTCTCCCCTCCACTCACCTCTCTCTAACACACACACCTGTCTGAACGTCTTTGTGTGCCCCCCCCGTCCCCCGTTGCACCTGCCATACTCCCCTTGTCTCCACCCACTCCCTCCCCTCCTCCTCCTCCATTCCTCTCTCCTCTTTTTCCTCCAGCTGTCTATGGAAGACACAACGTCAATCCTCCCGAGGCTCAAGAGGAACTCGAATCCCTACGGCATCGGAGCTCTGGCTAAGTCTTCTCTGTCAGGTGTGTCAGGTGTGTGTCTGTGCTGTAACTGGTAAATCGACCCCATGTTGTCTCTGCCCTCACGTGAGAGCTGGAGTCAGCATGGTACCCTGAACGGGTTCCCCTGTATCACCTCCTCTCCACTCTCTGATTACACTCGTCAATGGCTTCTCGTGAGTCATTGACAGAATGAAATCAACCTGACAAACACAACACACACACGTGCACACACACACACACATCCTCATGCAGCTTGTTTCTCTAAGGACAGGTGAGTGGTAAGTGTGGAGTGTAGTTTTATGTGAAGTGGTTGTGAAAACGTGCCTTAATCATTGCTGTGACCTTTGACCTGTGCATAGTGCAGTGTAGTGTTTCTGCAGTGAAGTGTCTTTGGTCCATTCTAGCCGTTGTGTGTCACAGTGCAGTGGAGTGTACTTCAGTAACTGTAACTGAGTGTCCTGGTACCGATTTGTCCTGTAATTTATTCATAAACCATCATGTCCATGTACTTCCATCAGAGGGAATCAAATCACAGGGCGTGATACAAATGTGTGTCATCACATGTAATCACAAGTGAAATGGACCTGCAGCGGTCAGTGGACATCAGCTGGTACTGACCTGGTCATGACATAACGATTGTTACAGGGTAGATTCTCAGACACGCAGTGAGGGGCAGGGGCAGGTACTTTTCTTATGCTAACACTACACAGGGTAGTTATGGTGTGAAGGCTATCATGTCAACAAAGCAGCGTCTCATTACTCACGCCACACAGACACGCTCAGCCTAATTAACCTGCTCCATCCCATGGTGCACCTGTGTCAAAGCAATCCATCGCTTCTCTCCCTCATGTAGAGAGAACAGCGGTTGAACCAGTATATAATATTACACCACAGTTTTCATTAGGACTCGCATCATCCACCTTCATTACATCATTAAAAAACAGCAGGATTTGACTGACTTTTTAATACGGGGATATTTTAGTTTGGTGACATGTGACGACGTGTTGAAAACTAAACCTTCCAGTGAGTCAGTGAAAACACACAGTACATCATCCAATGATGTTTTGATTAGGGTTCAAATCCTCAACATGAGATAAAAATCTACATTCCTCAATATTACAAAACAACATTTGTATATTATTGGATCATAAAGACCAACGTCAACAAGTAGATGTCACTGTTTTTCACCTGTTTATCTGTCACAACGTCAACAAGTAGATGTCACTGTTTCTCACCTGTTTATCTCATACAAACGATGAAATTATTATGTTAAGAAACATTTACAACAGTGAAAATCTTCATAAACCCGTAGTGTTAATAATTAAAATTATGGAAGGATATCATCAAGAAAGGCTTTATGATTAGTTATTTGTAATTAATCACATTTTATAATAAATTATTGGTCTATTGTGGGCTGGCTACAACGCTTGTCTGTACCAGGACTGTAATAGCTAATGTTCGCTGTGGTGTCTGAACCAGGAAGCTAATGTTTCATCATCATACTGTCAGTGTTGGTAAGCCAGAAATGGGGAAATTGCAACAAATGTGTCATATTCACAGATAATCAAGTCTGATTGATCACATTCATGTCCCAGTATACATGTCAGGTCACACCTACAACAGTCCCTTCATACAAGTTTGTTTTTTTTTTTCCATTTCATCTCATCTCATCTCATCTCTACCAACCTCCACACTTTCCCCTTCTCTGCCTTTTTCTTAACACACCCGTGCATTACTTTTCATTTCCTGTTTCTTCTCTATAACCAGGAGTGACCCGAACCATGAAGGAGAGAGTGACCAAACCCACAGCCATGGCTCAAGGTCGTGTCGCACACATGATCGAATGGCAGAACTGGGGAATGCAGACAGTGGGGGCAGGGGGCGTGCTCCAGACTCGCATGACCACACAGGAGCGTGAAAAAGAGCGGCGGCTGGAAAACGACGCCTACAGTGATCTTAGCGATGGGGAGAAGGAGGCCCGCTTTGCTGCAGGTTTGCAACCGCAGACCGCAATTAACATCAGCAGAATTGTGTGCTAATTACCTCACTTCTTGGGGTGAACGCCGGTTACACAAAGGTCCTCACGGTGACCCTGACTCGACCTTGAAATCCTTCCCTCAGGTATCCTCCAGCAGTTTGCAATCTCAGAGGCAACACTCCTAGCCTGGTCGTCAATGGATGGAGACAGCCAACGACTGGGATCCAACCAGGGCAGCGTGGCTCATCTGAGTGAGGTCAACCAGGAGAGCATCACCAGTCGAGGTAAAGCACCACGACATCCATCTATTATAGCATTGATTTTTATCACAAAATAACAGTTTTAGCTTTGATGTGAACACATCAACGTCAATAAACCAGTTGTGTTAAATTTAAGTGAGAAGAAAGACCACGGGGCAGGTTCAGCTTCTCAAAGTCATGTCTCCTCTCGTCCAAAAGTCTCCTTCAGATCTGAAGTACTAGCATTTGTTGTCCATCCTTTATTTGTTTATTTACATGCGGTGTGGTCATTGTTTTAAGGTAAATATTGACCACATGAAGATGTTGGTTTTCACCCTTTGGTTCAATTTAATCAATTTACTTGCATAAAACAAACTGCATAAAATGAAGGTTAAATATTTTTGACACCAGTGATTAATCAACACTCAGACCTGTGCCAGAGAGTCTTTTAGTCAGTCTGGAAACTTTTCACTTCATCAGCATTTCAGTTTTTCTGGTCAAGATCCAGTCAAACTCTTTTCATTGGGACAGAGCAAGGTCAGAAGAAGAGAAAACTCAACACTGCCCCCATGTGGGCTGGCACACAAGACATTTCCACTGGGGGCAGGGTATGAAAATGTATTTAGTTCCTTGTCATGGCACCACTGTCACATCACAGTCAACATTTCAGCTATAATATTCAACATCAAAGACTTTCTTCCACTTTGAACCATGTGATCAGGTCTATAGTGATCTGACTACAATGTTTATCTGTACCAGGACTGATGTAGCTAATGCTAGCCCTGGTGTTTGTACCAGGACTGCTGTTGTCTATATTTGCCCCCAGGTTGGTTCAAAAAGGTTGATGTTCAATGAGAATGAGTTTCTGGTCTGTGTGCAGCCATTTGTTTTTGATTTTTACACTGATTTGGTGTACAGTGAAAGTGAGTTTTACACCTCTGATCCACATAATCCTTTTTAGTTTTATAAGGTTAAAAACAGCAGTTACCTCTTTGTCGTTGCAGATCAGATATTGCATCACTCGTCAGCAGAGGTGTGGCCTCACACATACGTGTCCCAGGGCCACTACTGTCTCTCCTCCTCTGATGCATGGGACCCCATCAACAACGACGCCCCTGGCGTGGCCTCCTCCCCGGCGGGCTCCTACGTTATGGGGGCCAACGGGTTCGACGGGCAGACGGCGGCTCAGCTGCTGTCGCAGCAACAGCAGCAGCAGTTTAGTCTCCAGCAGCAGAGTCAACTCCAGCAGCTGCAGCTGCACCAGCTCCAGCACTACCAGCAGCAGCAGCTCATGCAGTATCAGCAACAACAGGTGACGGAGGGAGAGTGGGTGAAGCCCAGAGTCTGTGGATTAATGTGGTGTGTGTGGTTGGATGCAGAGAATAGCTGCTGCAACAGGCAGCCGCTCTTTCAGCGCCATCTTGACAACAGAGGATACCATTCCAGAGTATTAATCACATCTGTCACAGAAAAACACAAGGTTTATCCATACTTGTAACAGGTTATCTATTAGTAACAGGCTAACAAGCACTTACTTTGTTCACTGAAGCTGATGAATCCTTCATCCTTTGTTTAACTTCTAAATAATTATGTCAACTCTATTCAGTTGCCACAAAGGTAGACAGTGCCCTCTTGTGGTCCTAGATGATATTGAGTAATATATTGATGTATAGGTCTCTTCAGAGTGCATTTTGAGTTGTTTTTGTTGTCCATGGTTGAACAAAAACAAAATATCAACAATCCACTACTGCCATCATTTTACAGTCAAAATGTGTTTGTGGCTCTTGGTGTGTTTTATACATAATTCAATTTTCAATTCTTTCCAGACTAGCCAACAAAGCGATATCCCTCTGTTGTTTCAGTCCCTGGAGCACAGGCTGCACAGCGCAAACCACTCCTTGCAAGCCACCCCCAACAGCACCATCCACAGTCTAGTTCATCAGGTTCACCCTCCGCTGGTTGATTTGTGGAACACAGGACAGATGGAGGCCTATCAGGCAGAAGCTGGGGGCTACATGGGTGTGGCAGCAGTGGTGGAGCCCAGCCTCTGTGTATCCTCTGGGGACAACATGGGGGGAACAGAACACTCCCCACTGCTGGAGCAGCAGGAAGAGGAGGAGGTTAAGGTGAGGTGAACATCATGTTTGATTACAGAAAATCACATCCTTGGATTTAAAAATATATATATATATATTGTCACTCAGCATTTTCTTTAAAATAAATCATCTATAGGTTCTGTTTTATTAAATGTAAACATTTTTTTCTGGGGGATGATGACTGCACAAAACAAATGTTTTTATGGTATTTGTTTGACCTATACAGCTCCTTGCTTTGTGCTAATTAAAATTAATAATTTATATAAAAATGCTACAGCCGGGTACTGATATTAACTTCTCAATTAATAATTTATATAAAAATGCTACAGTCGGGTACTGATATTAACTTCTCATGATACTATATTTTATTTGACATTAATATTAATTACAGTATATTTGTATTGACTGAACACTCTTGATATTATTTTAATATCTTACAATGAATCTTACGGTTAAATTGTATGTTATTTAAATAGAAATACTGTACGTAGTCGTGTTAAGAACAGGCCGCCATTACAATTAACGCTTCGGTCAGTTTACCTTCGCTTTGAGCTTTTTCTTTTTTCAAACAATCGTTCTTCACGTTTTCCAGTCATGTCATGCGTCTTGTTTTCACTAACGTTAAAACCATATTTCAATTTTTCTGTCTACCGGACAGATTTTGGTCAAAATATTACACATAATTTAGCATTAACAGCTATTTCTGCTACCGAACACAGGTTCACTCTGATTAGATGTCAATTGCAATGTCCCGCCTTCCAGCCAACATCGTAGCTCTGATTGGCTCTTGCATTGATTTGTTCCTCCAGTTTACAAGACGAAATCAGCACTGATTTCGTCTTGTAAACTGTCTGTCTCGTTTTTTATTTATTGACTATGAGTCTTTAAATGTCGTCCTACATTCATTTAATTTCAGTTTTCGATCGTCACCTAAGTTCCCGCTCCTAGTTTCATACTGTATTCCCTTTATTTTACTTACAGTTGATAAACATCCGCCATGATTAGCTCTCCCGTTTAGGTGTCCCGCCGTTAACAAACACAGCTGTGATTGGCTCCCGTC